TAACATATCATGTTGAAAAACCAATTAAAAATGAATATGTCTTCATTTATTTGGAGTGATGTTAGTTCAAGTTTTCAATTCAATAATTGTTTGGTCACATGTTCATTTGTGATTGAGAACTTATTCATTTTAGCAAGACTTGCTGCTCTTCTTTCAGCGGTCAAGTCTTATTCCCAAAAAAATGAATGGCTAGATTGTTTTTTTTAATCACTAAATTTGTAGATAAAATTTTGATAACTAAAAAACATGGAAATTGATGATTAGTTTATTACTTACACGTTGATAAACGTGCTTATTTTTATTGGTAACACGTCATTTAGTTTGCAAATGTAATCTTTCTAACATTACCCAAAAAAAATTATGCGGCTACAAATCCCGTGTATTCAATAGGACCGGATCCTTTTCTTGGGAATCCGGGGGATCCTGTGATCATAACAGTACATCGTGTGATCAGTTTTAGGTATTTTTTATATTTAATTCAATTGATTATTCCAAAAAAAATTAATGGCTAGATTGAGTCATTGAATAGCACGGGACATTATAGCCAATAATATGGCAATGTCTTTGGATTGTAGCAAGTAGTCAGAAAAGTAAGCTAACAATCAGAAGCAAACACGTTTAGGTGTTCTAGATGGGTCATTTGTCTTGAGGATAAAGATGAGGAAACTTTGGACTCCGGACTGGAAAATTTGATCAGTTAACCAAAAATGAGTTATTTGGGAGGCATAGTAGCCATTCTTTCAAGCCTTCTGTGCGTATTTCTTGTCTTTGTTCTCATCAAGATCCTACACAAACTATGGTGGACTCCGACTCGGATACAAAAGATGATGAAGGCGCAGGGGATCAAAGGTCCCCCTTACAGACTTATCCATGGAAACACCAAAGAAATCTCCGACATGAAAAAGGAAGTCATGCGCAGGCCCAAGAATTTATCTCACGACATAGTTTCTGTAGTTGTACCTCACATACACTCTTGGTCACAGATATATGGTAACAGCTAACAAGTTACATCTCACTTTTAGTTAACTGTTGTTTTCAATTTGTTCCGACATAAATTTTGGTCATTTTTTTGTACGAAATTGTAGGGAAGAATTATCTTCAGTGGCATGGTTCTCTTGCACAGTTGGTCATTACGGAGGAACCTGAGTTATGGAAAGAGATAATGAGTAACAAAGATAAAGCTTATCCGAAAAGAGAGCCCACTACCTTTGTGAAGAAGCTATTAGGAGATGGTCTTGTGACAACAACTGAAGGTGAAAAATGGGGAAAATTGAGGAAGCTTGCTACCCATGCCTTCCATGGAGAATGTTTAAAAGTAAGTTTTTTACAGTTACTGTGGTAAAGATTGCTGAAGCTAAATTTGTTGATAGCATGACAGTATTATTTGTCCAGAGTTTGTTTCCAGATATGGTAGCTAGTGCTGAGACGATGCTTGAAAGGTGGAGAAATTATGAAGAAAAAGAAATTGAGGTGTTTGAAGAGTTCAGGTTGCTCACTTCAGAAGTGATTTCGAGAACAGCATTTGGCAGCAGCTATTTAGAGGGACAGAACATTTTTGAGATGTTGATGAAGTTAGCCTTCCTAGTTTCTAAAAATGCCCTCAAAGTCAGGATTCCTGGCATCAGGTAATCTCAGTTCATTCCACAAATTTTCTTGGAGTGTTACTTGTGTTCTCATGGTTGTTAGTCTTTTTGCTTAATGTTGCAGTAAATTTTTCAAAACCAGTGATGAGATTGAAGCAGAAAAACTTGAGAAAGGTGTATATGCCTCCATAATGGAGATCGTTAAGAAAAGAGAAAAGACGGCAACGAGTGGAGATGAGGACAGCTTCGGGAGCGATTTTCTTGGATTACTTTTGAAGGCTCGTCATGATGCCAATGACGACCAGAGGATTTCGGTGGATGATTTGGTTGACGAGTGCAAGACCTTTTACTTTGCTGGACAAGAAACCACCAATACTTTGCTTGCTTGGACCGTCTTTCTTCTAGCACTCCATACGAATTGGCAAGAGGAAGCAAGAAAGGAGGTCATAGAATTATTTGGGAAACAAACTCCAAATCTCGATGGCATTACCAAACTGAAAACAGTAAGAAAGTCAACCACTAATTAATCAACTGCTTATCTTAAGTGGAAAATTAAGCTTGAATTAAGATTGGAAGTAATCTTGATTTGGTATCCATTTTTCGTGTTCATGCAGATGAGTATGATCTTCAATGAGTCTCTAAGGTTATATCCCCCTGTTGCTGGTTTTTCAAGGAAAGTTGAAAGGGAAGTTAGACTGGGAAATGTCATTGTTCCTGCTAATGTTGGATTAGTTATCTCAAATATATCATTTCACCACGATCGTCGAATCTGGGGGCAGGACGCACAACTTTTCAAACCAGAGAGATTTGCTGAAGGGGTTGCTAAAGCAACTAACAATAACATAGGTGCATTTGTGCCGTTTGGAATAGGACCACGAAGTTGTGTGGGCTTAAACTTTGCAATCAATGAAGCAAAGATTGCTCTGTCAATGATTCTACAACGCTACTCCTTCACTCTATCCCCAGGTTATGTTCACTTGCCCATTCAGTATGTGACGGTTCGTCCACAACACGGAGTTCAGGTAATGCTTCACCCACTTTGAACTGCAAAGGCGAATGTGGTGCATGAATCTTGCAAAGTATCATGTAATCAACTATCATTTCATCTTTTTCAAGATATTATTCTGCTTACTTTGGCAGCACTTTTGGATAATCTGTCACAAAGCACTTGATGCTCTCCTCACCCACTGATGTGGGACTCCAATTTTAGCTCAACCAAAGCCACACCAACACGTCATGAGTAAGATATGATTATGAAAGGCTGCCATCCAATACGTGTTATTGAACTAGTGAATGTGAAAATTTGAATCCTTTTACTGTGGAAATTATGATTGTCGTCCTACGTGCTTGGGGTTTAGAGTAAGATGTGCATTACATATACAAGAAAATCTGCAGTGGTCACACCCATGTCAAAAGCCGAGGCATTTTCAAGGCATGTCAACCATTCATTTTATAAACCACTCAGACCAAGATTGATCTGTCAATGATTTTACAACACTACGCGTATGCCTCACACTCCCTCCAGGGGGGTGGCTACGTGCACTTGGCCTTTGTGTATCTTACTAGTAAATTTACGTATTGTTCATTCACATACCCTGCAAATTTACATACTGTTCATCCACAGCACGGATTCGAACTGCAAAAGGCCAGAAATTGATGGCTTTTATATGTGGGGTTGTTGGTAGCTTGTAAGTAGAGCAACCAGGTGATGCACGATGGGACTACCTAAATTCGTCACATACTATTATGTAGCGAATTTTCAGTACATTTGCAAGATCCCTTTTTCTTGTAGTGACTAATAACGTTTCCTAGTCTTTGTTTTGGTTTGGTAGAAAGAATCTGTGTGCTTCGAGAACATGAGAATAATATATGAGTAGGAATTGTTTTACGTAGAATAAGAGTCTATATTAATTAGAATTCTTTAAATATAGGCTCGTACAACTCTTTATATATATATATATATATATATATATATATATATATATATATATATATATACACTAGCCTCTTGCCACACTCATACGTGTGGCAATTGGCCTTTTTATATTAGACCATGTTTCATTTTTTTAATTTTTTTCATTTAAATAGGTAATTTATATTTTTATTAAAAATCATTCCAAAAAAAAAAAATGAATAAAGCAAAAACACGAAACCTAACCACCTACTAACGTGGGAGAGTTTTAAATTTATATTCATTGAAAATTAAAAAGTGTTGAATCAATTAAACTTTTTAGGTTCAATTGTAATTTTTGAAATTCTTAAAGGGCAATCTATGGTATTTTGAATATTTCACCTTTATAGTGTGCTCACTTTATATATATACTAGCCTCTCTGCACGCACTAACGTGCGTGCGAGAGGCATTTTTACATCACGGGCGCTACGCGCCCCTAAATGTGTATTGTGTTAGTTTTTTTTTTCCATTGTAATTGTCAATGTGTATGCTTTAGAAAGTATGATACCAACTATGGAGGTGAGGGATGAAATCTAGAAGATGGCTGCACATAACTGGAAGCAATAAATTTGAAGTTGTTGACGTGGATACTCTCTCACACACAGCAGTGCCTATTACGGTGTCCTCACGCGCACGCAAAATGTACTTTTTTAATCACGGCGCACTACGCGTGAGTTACACATTTTAGATGTATTTATATGGGAGGATTGGCTCAATGTGTAGAAACATAAAATAAAGACAATTATCATCTCTAATAATACAGGCAGTAATTTAAAGTATTTATCTAGAATTTGTACAAAAAAAAAAAGTATTAAATAACAAAGAATATCATTATAATTTAGTTGCAACTAAAAGGTAAATAAAAAGTATAAAAACTATCCAAGAACTTCAATTGACCTTGATACACTTGACAACAAAACATATCATGAACTCATATTGCCGTCCTGTTGAAAATTTAATGTTTTTGGTTAAAATCAAACATTAGCATTATTTGTAATTGAATTGCAGAGTCAGAGTGAGGAGTATTTATGTTCAATAGGTTTGCATATATGTCAAAATCAAAACTCAAGATAGAGGGGAAAGTAGACAAAAAAATGGATTAACAAAGACAATTAATTCCCAATAATATAAAATCAAACTCCAAGGATTATTTAAAACTCCAGATTGAAGAGATTAAAGTTCTATTTATTCTGAAATGGTGGTTCGTGAAAGATGTGTAGAGAGACGATGATGAAGTGAGATACAATTTACGCAGCTATATGCTAATATGGCATATTACTGCAAGTCTGGGCTTTGCTGTGAATTTCAATACTTTTTAGTAGTATTTTCCACAAATACAATGTTTGACTAAAGTGCAAAATTACAGTTTAAAAAAAGAAGGCTATTGTATCAAAAGTACGGATGTTTGAAGGCACAGTGTTTACTGATATAAAAATCATTAGAAGATGAACCATTGTGAGTAATCTCAATAAATCTAATTGTAGATAGTAAACTGAAATTATGCAATACAATAAAAGTCTATATTAAACCATAAAAGTCTATATTACTTCTCCACGGCAAAGCTTTTGTCGAATTCCAGTTGAGAAACCTTGACTTTACCACAAAAGACAATTAATTCCCAATAATATGAAATCAAACGCCAAGAACACAAAAGAGAAGGGGTAAAAATAAGAAAGAAAGAAAAAAAACTGAATATCCGATAGACTGAGATGAGTCAATTTTTGTGTCATGGCGAAAGATATAACCCAAACGTAACTGCTCATAGCAGTTTCAAAAAATCAATAGATGAATTGTTATCAAGATGATCGAGTCATGACAGAAACACAGATATGAAGAGACTAAAGTCACCAAATTGACACAGGAAAATGGGATTATATCTACTTTCCCAGTAGCAATTACGCTACATTTAGCATTTTATGGAACATATTATACTATAGTATCAGAAGATGGGCAGTGGACATTATTTGCATTGCAGAAAGAATGAAAGTCTGGATGGCAAGGTGTTTCATATGCATATTAGCGAATGGTTGAGTGAAAGTAGCAAGTCCAGGCATACCCGAAATGGTTGATAGTAACTCTACGCCAAGCTCTGCCCCGAAATGGATGCTGATAACTCCTCCGCCGATGCGGTGCGTCTCATCTCTTCCTTCCTCGCTTCCTTCCTTCCTGATTTACAGTTTGACATCTTATTCAAAATACATGAATTCGAATTTTAATGAATCTGCTTTTTTTTTTGTTCAACATAATTTAATGAGGAAATTCAATTGTATTAACTAAAGCGCAAAACATAATCAATTATGTCACCGTCATGTTTCCTGCGAAAGATGGTAGCACCTAAATCAAATGCAGCTATATAATACCATGACTTGAAAAATAAGGAAACATAGAAAATTTCATAAGGTACTTAAGATTATAAAGTCACACCAAAGAGATATTTTTAGATACAAATCCCCCACATCTATTAAAGAAAGCAACCATAATTTGGGAAAGGAAAACACGCAGCTATCCTAATTTTTTCAAAAATAAAAGGATTAATAGGAAGATCAACCTGGAAAACACATAACCCAATGTAATTAGACAGACCCCTTTGCAAAAATCAAATCTTGGAACATCCAAAAGGTTCAAAAAACAAAACCCAATTGCAAAATTCAAATTTGCAGCAATCAGAATGTTCATGGAATAAAACCCATCACCATTAAAAAAATTAAAAAAATTAAAAAAAGCAAATAAATAAAAAATAAAACTCCTTTTGCAGATACAATTCAATCCTGAAGTAATCAGAAGATTCAAAACACTGCAGAAAGCAAATAAATTTCAGAAACAAAATTACAGATACATAGATTTTCAAATTAAAAAGTACCTGAGAGAGGTGGGAAGGAAGTGGAAGGAGAGAGATGGAGATTGATCTTGGTGGGTGGACAGAGACAGGTAACAAATTTCACAGCAAAACGACGGCGTTTGGTTGCCGGCCGAATGCCTACCTGGGATAAGGTGATGTCTCGGGTATTGTAATTGGAGTGATCGCTCCGGCGGTGGCGGCGGCCTCGCAGTCGTAGTGCTCTCTGGTTCGTACTAATTTGTGGATGGTCTCTTTACAGCAACCTTAATTCACTGGATTACTGATTAAACACACAAATAGATTACAACAACCTTAATTCACTCGACTTACACATTCAAACTATCGATTAGTCTCTGGGGAATTTTCACAAACACCTAATATGCAAGATTCCAGACACCAAATTAATCTTAAAAAGTAAAAATTACCAGGAAAAATGAGAAAGATGGATAAAAGCTATAGAGAAAAAAAAAACTGGATTTGGAAGAGAGTTACAATGCTGGCAGGGTTATGCGGGAAACGTCTCTGAAAAATCCTCCTCTGTGGAAGAACCAAAGGCTGCTAGTGTTGGGTGGGGTGCTGGTGTTGATCATTCAGGCATGTCATCTGCACGCGGGAATGCTCTTGGATGGCAATGGTTTAAGGATCCCAGATTGGATTGCCTTGGTTTCAGAAGGATCTTCCCGTCGGATACAATACGCTAGTTTTTAACCCTTTGCTGCTTTTGAGCTTTGTATGTGGTTTCTGCTTCACAAACGGCGAAAGGCAGAGAGAGAAAACAGAAAGAAAAGAGTTGTCCGTGGAATCGTGGGAGGTTACAGAGTCTGTGTGAGGAAGAAGTTTGATCAGAAAATGGGGAATAGAGGAGAGATGTGGGTGGGTGGGTTGGTTTCCGCTGGTAATCAGTGAGTTTGAAAACTGTACGGAAACTATGCAGTTTGAAAACTAAACGTGCTAATCCAGTGAGTTTGAATTTCTTTTTTTTTCTCAATTTTTTTTGTTTTTTTTTACACAAATGCCCATGAAACATTTAGATTCATAATTTACTTCAGTTTTAAATTTTTTTGTTTCAGGGACTTTTTAGTCCACTTGTTTTTTGGTGAAGCCTTAGACACCAAAGGTGGCTTCTCGCATTCTATTAGTAGAGATATATATATAAACCCGCTTGTGTATAAATATCCAACAAAAATTCAAAATTTAATTAAATTGCCACATAAGAAAATAAGTAACCTACTAATATAAGTTATTTACAAGTTATACCACAACATTATATAACTGTTCTCACACACCCATTATTAGCCAACCATTAGTTTGACTTGATACGGCTAACTGTTTTAGTATCTAATACTGAATCTATATAATGTATACCAAATCTCTTAACTAAACTTTAGATAAATAATTTTGCGAACACACAAACATATATATAATAATAGTAAAACATAAAATAGAAGATACATTATTTTTGAAAAGTTAAAAAGTAGGTAAATAATATTCATACAAAAATAAAATTCTAGATACATTATTGTTGCAAAAGAAAATAGGTAAACTATTATCCTAAAAAGTAAACAATAAAATTATTTTTGTACCTACATTACTTTTGTAAAAATTAAATAATAGGTATATTATTAGTTTCACAAATTATTCACAGTAGGTAAATTATTAGTTTCACAAATTATACATAGCAGGTAAATAATAGGGGCATTATTAATTTCAACATTTATACACAGTAGGTATTATTATTGCTAAAATTAAACAATAAGTAAATTATTTTTGTAGATGCATTAGTTTTGTACAAATTAAATAATACGTACATTATCATTTTAAAAAATTTATTAATAGATAGACTACTTCACCAAAAAAATATATTTAAATTGACAAATATTGTAGAGATTGAGAAAACTTTCCAAATTAAATCCTATATCAATTAGAAGCAAATTTTATGGAGTGAGAGAAACATGAATCAAGCAAATTAATTACCAAACGTGGAAATCATGAATTCTCATGTTACATGCAATGAATTTAGAATATTAGTGCCTTTTTTAATTTGAAAACTTTAATGAAAATAATTTGGGCCAACTCTTTCTTAACAAAAAACCACCCTAAACTTTTATTAACCAAAAGGGTTTGAGATTTAACCATAAAGACAAAACAATTATATCCTAACCCTACCAACACTAAAAACACGGGCTGATTAAAGCCAACCCCCAATAAAATTATTTTTCCATAACTACCCTAAAGGAGGCCAACCCAAGCCCGCCACCAATCACAATACATGAGAGCAATTGGAAAAAAAAATTAAAAAAATAAGACTACTAGTCTATTTATTCATAGTTCTTTTGATACAATTAGACTACTAATCTATTGATCAGGGCATCTTTTGCTAAGTATGTTATTATGCATATGGTCCATAAACTAACATGGTCTTACATCCAAATACAAGATATAATATAATTGAGATACATCTCATAAGTTATTTTAGAGCGTGTCAATTATAGCGTCATGTAGTGTAATCGATTTACTTATGATGATAATGATTAATGACTGTTGACATATAACTTCTATTTTGTAACATAAGTCACAGTAAGTAACTATGAATAAATAACTATATACATGAACTCAACATCAATGAAATAGTATACTATTTAAACCACCACGAAGTTTCTAGTGGTTGGGGCCGAAGTTTCTATCCAGGTCAGGTTTTTTCAGAGGTCCTCCATTGAGCTTGCCTAGTCATACTATAGTATGAGTATGTTAGGCATTCTTATCGCCCAATTTATAATAGGGTTTTTATCACAAATGGTCCATGAAATTGATCTACCTCATCAAGATGGTCCTTAAAATTGAAAATCAATCAATGTGATCCCTGAAATTAGGTGTCGCAAATCAATATGGTTCTTCCATTACAATTATGTCAAAAATTCCGTTATGTGCTGATGTGGCGCTCAAGTGGGTCCCACAATGTAATCAAATATTGCCATGTGGATTAAAAATATTTAAATAATAATAAAAAAATTATTTTATACAATTAAAAAAAAAAGAAAAAAAAAAAGATGACTGTTCATCATCTTCTTCCCCTCCTACCTAGCGACTCACCATTAATGGATCGAACCGGAGGCCTCTGGAGGATCGCATCGAACTTCCTCAGAAGCTTCAGCACCGCTTCCCAAAACCCAACTTCCGCCACCGGTTCTTCTTCGGCTTCAAAGAAACCCAAGCGGAAGAAGAAGAAGAAGAACCTTTTCGAGGTAGCCCAGTTTCTTCCCAATTGGGGATTGGGGTACCGAATGGCTAAGACCCACTGGGTCGGCGTCTCTTACCAGATTATCAATCTTTACAAGGTATTGATTGCTATCAAATTTTCCCAGATTTTGTTGGGTTTTTGGGTAGGAGGGGAAGAAGCTTCTTTTTTTTTTTTCCTTTTGTTTTTGTTTTTAATCGTATAAAATAATTTTTATTTATTATTTAGATATTTTTAATCCACATGGCAACATTTAATTACATTGTGGGACCCATTTGTGTGCCACATCAGCACATAATGGAATTTTTGACAGAATTGTGACAGAATGACTACATTGATTTATGACACCCATTTCAGGGACGACATTGATCAATTTTCAATTTCAAGGACCATCTTGATAAAGTGGATCAATTTCAGAGACCATTTATGATAAAAAAAAAAAAAAAAAACCCTTTATAATATGATCTTCCTTAAAAAAAAAAAAAAAAAAAAAAAAAAAAAATCCCCCTGAGGAGCTAGCTTATTATATGTATATATTTGCAAAGCTCCGTCAATTCTCAACCAATGATATTGTCTCGACTGCCAATGTTCGTCTCTCTCTCTCCTCTCTATATCTATTTGCAACTCCCCTACAAATGATTTCTAATGCTCTTGGTTTTATTGGTTTTCCCAACCACGTGGAAGCCCAAGAGAGAGTCCTAGCACTCAAAAAATGAGTCTTGCTAGCATTTTCTTTACAAATTTAATTTCTCTCCTACAAATTGGGAGATTAAATACAAACCTGATTACAAATTAGAATCTGCGCGCGTTCGGAAAGTTAGCTTTGGTATGGAATTTTTCGGAAAGAGATTCCGTACATGCCTAATTATAAATCATAATCCAAACAAAAAAAGTGACTGTTACAGCACATCCAATGAACATGATGTAAAATACTAATCATTCGGAGAGTTTTTTAGTCAATAAAAAATGTAAAGTGCTCAATTCAATTTATCGTTGAGTTCGATATTTCTCAACCAATTTTTTTATTGAGACTTCTACTCGAATTGAATTTTTATAACATATAAAAGAATAAAAAGTTAAGTGCCTAAAATTCCTCAACATTTTAGTGTCATTCCAATTTGGTCTTAACTTTTTTAAGCATTTTAAATAAGTACCCAACCTATTGAAAATGTTACATCTGTTAAGTCTCATTTAATTTTTTTTTCGTTAAATGTATAGGTGACAACAATGAGTCCCACTTTTTAACTTACTTGGACACTAAAATAATAATAGAAATAACTTAAAAAAAAGACATGAAGTTGAAAACATAAAAAATAAATAAACAAATTCACAAATAAAATGGAAAACAAAATTGAAGATTGGGAAATATCAAGCCCCCGCCACCTCTAAGCTCAACCTACTACCATTGAAACCCCATCACAACCTGTATATTCAAAACCTACCAACGAATTCAGCTTCCAGTTCTTCTTTGTGGGTGGTGAAGATGGTGGTGGCCGCATCATGGCAGTCCATACCATTTCAGCAACCTCCACAATCTTCTTCTTGATGTTGGCGGCTTGAGTTGTTGGGTGGAGTTAGTGGTTGTGCATTGGGTTTGAAGGTGGCCTGATAAGGGTGGTGGTGACCGTTAGTTAGTGGAGACCATGCTTTTACAACCTTTTTAATAGAGGCGACATTTTTAATAGATTAGATACTATTCTTTTAAGGCTAAATAGTCAAAATGGTCCCTGAGATTTGCATAACTCGTCACTTTGGTCCCTAACATTTCAAATCGATAAAAGTGGTCCCTGAGATTGTCCACCATCCATCATTTTGGTCCTTCCGTTAAAAACTACGTTAAGTGTCCTGGAGCTCTTGGCCGGAAGTTTGGGCAATTTTCAAAGCTTCGTAACTCAATCGTTTCTTAACCAAATTCGACCCATAATATATTAAAATGAAGATAGAAAAGTGTAGAATAAGATTATACCTATTTGGAAGCCCAATGGATGCCAGAGATGGCCATAAAATAGCCTCAAAGTTGACTGGTCCGAGGGAAAATTGGAAAACTCGCCGAAAACTGGGTAAACTTTAAACGTTCATAACTTCTTCAATACTCAATGAAATCAAGTGATTTAAAAACAAAAATCATACTTCTAGATGAGACGAAGAGAATAGTACATTTTTAGACAGCTAAATAGACTTGGTTTGGCCGGAAAATGGCTCGAAAGTGGCTAACTCGAGACCAAAACAGCCACTTTCGAACCGTTGTCCGGCCAAAAAAACGGTGATTTAGCCATCTAAAAAGGTACCATTCTATTCATCTCGTCGAGAAATATGATTTTCGTTTTTGAATCACTTGATTTCGTTGAGTATTGAAGAAGTTATGAACATTTAAAGTTTACCAGTTTCCGGCGCGTTTTCCAGTTTTCCTTCAGACCAGTCAACTTTGAGGCTATTTTCCAGCTATCTCTGGCAGCCATTAGGCTTCCAAATAGGTATAATCTTATTCTACACTTTCCTATCTTCATTTTGATATATTATAGGTTGAATTTGGTTAAGAAACGATTGAGTTACGAAGCTTTGAAAATTGTCCAAACTTCTGACAAAGAGCTCCGGGACACTTAACAGAGTTTTTAACGGAAGGACCAAAATGATGGATGGTGGACAATCTCAGGGACCACTTTTATCGATTTGAAATGTTAGGGACCAAAGTGATGAGTTATGCAAATCTCAAGGACCATTTTGGCTATTTAGCCTTCTTTTAATGTTTAAAAATGTTGAGACCAATTTGAAATGA